GGAGTTTGTTTTAGTATAATTATTGACAATTTTGTATCAGAAGTGAAACATGCCGTAAGTGTAAAATATACAGTTTCTGAAAACTTGGTAAAAAATTACAAAGTTGTAAATATATATATACACACACACGTATATATACATATGCATATATATTTTTTGTTACCAAGTTTTCAGAAACTGTTGATGTTGTTGTTAGGTGCCGTTGACCCGGTTCCCACTCACTGACCCCATGCGCAACAGAATGAAACACTTCTTGGTCCTGCACCATTCTTACAATGACTGCTATGGTTGAGTCCATTGTTGCAGCCACTGCGTCAAATTCATCTTATTGAGGGTCTTCCTCTTTTTCACTGACCCAAGCATGATGCCCTTCTCCAGGGACTGGTCCACATGATAACACGTTCAAAGTACGTGAGATGAAGTATCTTCATCCAAGCTTCCAAGGAGCTCTCTGGCTGTATTCCAAAACAGACTTGTTCGTTCTTCTGGCAGTCAATCGTATATTCAATATTCTTCACCAACACGATAATTCAAAGGCTTCAATTCTTCTTCAGTCTTCCTTATCATTGACTAGCTTTCCCATGTGTATGAGGTGATTGACAATATCATGGCTTGGGTTGAGCGCACCTTAGTCCTCAAAGTGATATCTTTGCTTTTTAACATTTTAAAGAGGTCTTTTGCAGCAGATTTGCCCAATGCAATACGTCGTTTGATTTCTTGACTGCTGCTTCCATGGGCATTGATTGTGGATCCAAGTAAAATGAAACCTTTGACAATGTCAACCTTTTCTCCATTTATCATGATGTTGCTTATTGGTCCAGTTGTGAGGATTTTTGTTTTCCTTACGTTGAGGTGTAATCTATGCTGAAGGTTGTACTCTTTGATCTACGTCAGTAAGTGCTTCAAGTCCTCTTCACTTTCAACAAGCAAGGCTGTGTCATCTGCATATTACACGTTGTTAATGGGTCTTCCTCCAATCTTGATGCTGCATTCTTCTTCATATAGTCCAGCTTCTCAGATTATTTGCTTGCATACAGATTGAATAAGCATGGTGAAAGGATGCAACCCTGGTGCACACTCTTCCTGATTTTAAACCATGCAGTATCCCCTTTCTCTATTCAGATGACTGCCTTTTTGTCTATGTACAGGTTCCACAGGAGTGCAATTAAGTGTTCTAGAATTCCCATTCTTTGCAATGTTACCCATAATTTGTTATGATCCACACAGTTGAATGCCTTTGCATAGTCAATAAAACACAGGTAAACATCTTTCTGGTATTCTCTGCTTTCAGCCAAGTTCCATCTGACATCAGCAATAATATCCCTGGTTCCTTGTCCTCTTCTGAATCTGGCTTGAATTTCTGGCAGTTTCCTGTTGATGTATTGCTGTAACCATTTTTGAATGATCTTCAGCAAAACTTTACTTGCATATGATATTGATATTGTTCGATAATTTCCATGTTCTGTTGGATCACCATTATTTGGAATGGACTTTCAGAAACTGGGTATACTTTATATAAACTTTATATATATAAATATATGTTAGAAATGAACTTTATAAATTATATATATATTTATAGTTACATACATGTTGTTGTGTGCTGTCAATTCTGACTCATAGTGACTCTATATGACAGAGTAGAACTGCCCCATCGGGTTTCCTAGGCTGAAATCTTTACGGTAGCAGATCAGCTATGGTAGTACAGAGCTGCAGAGTGAGTTTGAACCATCAATCTTTTGGTTAACAGCCGAGCACTTAATTATGCCACCAGGGCTTCTTCATATATGTGTGTGTAGATTATATATATAATAATATATATTATGTAATAATATATATTATTATATATATATTATATATATATATAATCTACACACACATACATATATAATGTTGAAAATGTTTAAATAATATTTTAGATATTTTGGGCTAAATAAAATGTTCTTGATTTCACTTTACTTTTTAAAATGTGGTTACTAGAAACTTAAAATTACATATGTGGCTTGCATTAAATTTCTATTGGACAGCGCTGCTCCAGACAAAGTTCAAATTCCTTAGGAGGGCATCTCATCCCAATTAGTTTAATGGCTATTGGTGGCTTATGAAACCAACTCATGGTGAGAGTAGCCCATGGGCAGCAAAGAGCTCCATGTATTTCAAAGCAAAGGGCTTTGCTGATATGAAGGGGTACATGGTGCCAAAACGCTGTCCTATACATGACTTCATTCATGCTCATGCAAACCTCATAAATATCAGGTACTACCAATATTTCTGAGCTTAAGTTTTTAAATATTATAGTGTGAATTAGTGACTGCCCTTTCCTAGCTTTATGACACTGAAGTCAGTTTCTGTCCAAGTCTCCCATTCTCTTCACTACACTACAGCTACCAATGGTAGTTCATGTTGAATACAAACCCTGCTTCAGGCTCCCACTGCCTTATCTGATCTCTACTTTCCCCTAAATAACCAATGTCAAAGATGGTAACGACTTATTAGACCAGTCCTATAGAATTCCAGAGGATAATGATCATTAAGACTTTAATAATAAATTAATTAGGCAAATAGCTGAGCTTAAACAACTCACATCTTCTCATTTTTTCCCCAGGGTCTGCCACTATTCATCTGAACTCCAATTCTCTTCCTCTTTTGACTACTTAGGTCTTGGGAATACGAGGAGGGAATTAAGCCCACTCTCCAAATATTCTCATACACCTCCCTCCAAAATGTATGTGTAATCAGGTGCTCGGGGGTCCGTATGATGTTTGATAGATGGAGTCAAACACGTAACTACTCTCATATAGCCCAGCAGGCCCACAGACTGCTTGGGAACTCTTCCACCCAAGGCCCCACCTTACCTCGACTTGAGAGGCTAGACATGAAGGGCAGGTTAAGTGCCCATCTACATTCTCTGCTAGGACCATTATTGACCACAGTAGGAAAATTGCTGCTGCTGCCAACACCAGCATCTCCTGCAAATTTAAGCCAAAGCAAAACAAACAGTAATGTGGTCTCGCATTAGGATATGTATGGTTAACCACCAGTGCACCTAATTCAAAATACACTGCAGTGGAATTCAAATCGCCTACGTTGTGTATGATGATGCCTTTATGTGGTTCAGAAATGTATCATATAAGATAGGCTGTGTAATAAATAGACATCTTGCTTAACATTTGAAATGAAAGGGCAGAGAAAATTTTAGACGCTTTATTTAACAAAATTTATGCCAACATCTCTGTATCTACACACCAACATCTGTTTTAAAACCAGAGCAGCAGACACACAAAATGTTAACACAGGACTTATAATACTTAAAACATGTTAAGCAAGGTTTTATTTTCTGCTTATACTGACATTCAGGGATTCAAAAGTTATTCTAGAGGCCAGACAGCATCATTTCTTCATTTTCTGGAATGGCTTATATATCCTAAAGAAAGATGGATGAAGCTTTTGGGGTTAATAGTGTTGTGTTCAGTTTAGTTCAACATTTGGCCCACAGTCAAAAACCTGTGGCTGTCGAGTTGATTCTGACTCATAGCGACCCTATGGGGCACAGCAGAACTGCCCCATAGGGTTTCCAAGGAGCCACTGGTGGATTCAAACTGCCAACCTTTTAGTTAGCAGCCAAGCTCTTCACCACTGCACTACCAGGGCCATAATAGGGGTTCACAAAATGTTTTGGGTTGCAGATAAAATATCATCTACTAGAGTATACTTTTATTGTTTTTAATTTTTTCCCTCTATTTCCTATATACCATAAATATAATATCGTCTTCTTTCTGGTCCCTCAAAAAGCAAGAAAACCTACCTTAAAAAGTAAGCTTAAATAACTTTATTAATTACTACTATTAATAAACTGTGGTGAGGTCCTTCAAAATCTAGAGTACACAAATACTCAACACAGTTCTGATCCTACTCCAACTTTTGTTAAAAATATGTTCATTTCATGGCATTTACCTATGTGTTAACACACTATTTTCCAAAGCTCGCTATATGGGGAAAGCAGACACTTTTTGCTTTCCCATTTTAATGACTTCCAGAAATCTTCACAATTCCTTAAGAAGTATTATAGTTCTGAGAATCCCCCAAAAGATTTGCTACATTTTCTACTTATAAAATTCAGCTCCATCCAATTACATAAGCCGTGTTTTAGTTAATACTTGAGAAATAGTTGATGCTACAAAGTGCAAATAATTCATGTTGACACTTAACACTTTGACCTGATTCATGGCCAACTTGCAATCTAGCCTTTCAGGAAAGATGCTGCTGAGGGGTGAGGTATAGAAAAAGTCAGTCACAGCCTCTATTCTTCTCCTCTCCTCTCCACATTTTGGGAATCTTCTTTCCTGTGAGAGGGCTGCAAATTTATATGTGGATAAAGCTTCAGAATGCTCTCCTTTATGTAGTGAAGTGGTACGCAAAGTCCATTTCCCAAAAAGCACCAACTGAAAATGCCCAGACTAAATGCTGTAATGAAGTGACCCATGGGGGTCCCTACTCCCGTCTGTTCAAATAAATCAGATCCTACATCACTGTGCTTTTGTTATCTAAAAACGAGATCAGAACCTTATAAAAATGTACTTCCAAAATAAATTATTTCTAGAATATAAAAAAGTTTTACATTTTTCCAGCCCACATGTCATTATAAAACAGGAAATCAGAAAAATAGCTACTGCTATTTTCATCTGGTAAAAAATATTTATATGGGTACACACACATGCACTTGAAAATCAATACAGGAAGTTTTAAATTTCAATAAAAATTAGCCAGTTAATCAACTTAATGATCATGTATTGAATTACATATGAGAAATATTATCTGTAATGAGAACCAACTACAAAGGATTACAATCCCATCTGTCAGAGGATAACCTAAGACTTTCCCATGTGGAAAAAATCGGTTAAGTCTCCAATTGAATACCCAACGAGACAGAAATCTCGCTGGTGTGATTTCCAGATAGAACAGCCTCCAGTTTCACTCACTGCACCACTGCATCCCCCAAGGAAGGAAGCAGTACCTGAAGAGAGGCAAACACACAAGCTGAGGCTGCTTTGTGGTTGTGTCCCTTGTGGTTTGCAGGAAGGTGCCCTACTGAGTAGTCAAGTGAGGACTAAGAACCTGTCCCAGCTATATTTGCCAAACCATCTGCCCAAAAGGCTGCAAGAATCCAGAGGACAGGCTTTTCTAATTTACACAAAGGTGCTGGATATCGGTCAGGACCAGTCCTGACATCAGTTGGTGGAGATGGGGTGGGAAGAAGTGTTCCCAGAGGTGCTTCCCTAGAAAAAGCTAAGATAAAGCAGAACCAGATTGGTACAGTGAAAACCAGGGGTAGTGTTTCTATGGCCTTAGTAAAGATGGTGGGATATTTCAACTGTGCTGATTCCTGCCCATTTCTAGTAGTTTCAGAAGGAAGAGCCTCAAAGGCACAAAAGGGACAGGCGGTGAGCAGGGAAGCTGTCCTATTCTACAGGGGGCCCTATTCCAATGGTTGGTAATGGTAAAGAGAGACTAGGATATGACCTAGGGGAGCAGTGTCCGTGACCCAGAAGTGACCAAGGACAAATGCACTGCACTCATCCAAGGGCTCTGGAAGGAAACACAGTTTTCACTCAATGAAAACAAAAAGCTGCATTAAACTCCATCACAATTTCCTGTACAAGGCTACCTGAATTGTCTTCCCAAGTGTTATCTATGCTATAATGAAGCCTGTTTGGCCACTTATGTTTGTGGGAGTAATAAGGGCAAAGAAAGGAGACTTAATTTTACATGGTCCCCCACCCCCACCCCATGATCATCTTTTCTGCAAAAGGCACATCCCCTCCTTTATTATCATAAATCAAGATACTTAAAAAGCAAAAGCTAAATGTCTGAAAAGGTCTTCTTTCTTCCCCTAACACCTGCTGTTGATTTAGTAAATTCAGGCATACCCTTGGAACCATTTCTTTACAATGGCTGACAAAGGCACAATTCTCTGTGCCATACAGAACTCTTACGAGTGTTATAAAACAGGGGAGGGATTAAAAAGAATGGTCATTTTTTCTATAACCAAATTTAAGACAACTAATAAAGCAGAAAATATAATTTCCATGATGTACGAAATATTCAGGAGACGAGTTAAAGCAAAACCAGAGTGGATGTGGACACAAAGACATTTGTTTAATTCTTCAGTAGCATTTTGTTATATAAAGAACATAAGTAAAACATTCTAAACTCACCCCTCTCCACAGATTATGAAAGATCTGTATCTACTCAGAAAATGGGGTACTAAACAAAGAAAGGTCTCAGACCTCACTGAAAATCTACTGAAAAAGTTTCACATGTTCTCTTTCCAAAAAATGCATGTACATACATTTGTGCGTACAATTTCAGGAGCTTTGAAGACTTTCCGAGGCCCAGTGACATATCCCAGGTTAAGAACCCTGGATCTCAACATTCCTACAGGATATCTGAAGAATTAACAATCCTTCCATCCCTACAGTCTGTATTTCTCCTACTGAGTTGGGGTGGGGGAGGGGAGCTGAACGAGCATCAACTAAAACAATTTGCTCCAAAGACCAATTTTTTACTTATTATTTGCCCTTGGAAGAAAGAACATCCCAATCTCTAGTTGCTTCTATCAAGTGCCGTTGGCCATGACTCATCCACTCTTCCTGGTCTTCATACAGCCGCCCACAAAACCAGCACTTAAATATACACTGTGATGCATCATCAGGCAAGGAATCCACCACCTGGTAGTTGTTCTTATGAACTTTTTTAAGTTTCATTTTCAACATCATTTGCCGTTTTATACGATTGGCTTCTTCTGCATTCTGGTAGGTGAGCCGCACATGATGCCGTCTGATGCCTAGCTGGCACCTGGTTCTCTCTGATAGGACGACTTTGAGGACATTGCCTTTGTACTTGTTTATTACCTTCATCACATTGGTCACTTCTGGTGAGTCCACATCGGGATGGTTCAACACAATGACTGGCTGGTTCCGACGGGGGCATTTAATCAACTGGTCTGGTTTAGCCGCTATAAGTCGAAGTTGTCTTGCAACCTGAAAAATTGAAGGATCCTTGAGATAGCAGCTGGGATCAGCCTGAATTTTGTTCTTCTTCTTGGATGAGTTTACTTGTTTAGTTTTATTTCGATTTATGGGAAGATTTCTGGAAAGCAGTTTCCCTTGCCTACTCAATTCACTGCTTCCTTGCTGTCCATGCAGGGGGACAGCTTTTCTAGGGGTCGTGGTACAGAGAGCACTCTCTTTTTTTGGCTTAGGCTGAAGAGATGTCTCCAGGTGTTGGGACATGTCTATTGGCCCACTTTCATTTGCCAGTATCTGTAAGTCTGAGTCAGTCTGTTTCACAGGGCAGAATGGAACAGGTTTTATTAACCGTGTTTCACTGCAAGGTATGCCGACAGGTGCTTCACAGGTAGCCTCTATAATGTGGGCATCCTTGGAGGAATTAAGAACCCTCAACACAGCCCCTTTGGGGATCAACACTGGAGCAGCAACATGAGCCTTCCTGATTATTCTGCTTTTGGTCGTCCCATCACTGCCATCTATAAACTGTGGGTATATCTGCTCATGAGTAATCTGTCCACTAATACCACCATCATCCTGAGATTTTTGGGGAGTACCTGTGGAATAGCCAGAGCCAGTAAATGACACATTAATTTCTTGAATACTTTCAGAGGTAGCTTTTGAAGTTACCTTTGATGCTTGCCCTACAGGACGACGATGTGCATTATTTGCAGCCAAAGTTGAAGGCTTGCCACAGGACTCAATTAACTGAGCTATCTTTCTGCGTAACAGTTCAATTGACTTTATTTTGGAAGTTGAACTATTCCACTTGATGCCTTCAGGAACGTTTTCAGATCCAGAGCTCAGAGAAAATACTGATGAGATGACTGGACCATCAAAACAGTCGTTATTTCTTTCAGAATTCTTTAACTCCAAAGGCTTCTCCCTGGGTTGTTGAGATCTATCTTCTCCAGTTATGTTTATGTGTAGATATTCACTTTTATGTTGAGAGGAGACCTGGTCTATATCTGAAACTGCCTCTGTCTGGTTATCTTTCAGCTTCCTGTTAGAGGAAACCATTTTTAAAGGAATACTGATTTCACTTCTAGATTCAAAGTCATTTTCACTTACAGGCAACAAGCCCTTTTCTCCACAGAAGGAAAAGGCTGCAGGCGGTACAGCAAGAGGAAACAATGGCTGTGAGTCGCTGTGTAAATTCTGTCCATCTTCAGGAAAAGCCGCAGCCTTATATGGAAAACGGTTTGATACAGTTCCAAGACCACATAAAACACTGTTTTTTACTACAGATGATGGAGAATGACCTTTTAAGGCAATGGAAGGAGGTGCAGTTCTATGTGGATACAAATTATTTTTTTTCTGCAAATCCTCAACTCTATCAGGGCTTAGAAAGGATTCTCCCTGGCTGTACACACTAGAATTTGACATGAAGAAATCATAAGACTTTAACCATTTCACATTTTTCAGTTGTTTGTGCACTGAAGATTGAAGATTATCAAGGCCTGCAAGTTTTCCAACATTCCCCTCAACCATCTGTGACTTTGTTTGTTCTGAAGATGTTTTTTCTTGTTCACTCGAAACCTCTTTCATCATAAGCTCAGAATTACCTCCATCCCCTCCACCTGCTTCAAGACTATTATTTTCTTCCAGAGGAAAGAGTTTCAGAACAAGTTGCTGTGTTCCATTGACAACCTTCACGTCTATCAGCTGGGCTAAACAGTTTGCAGGGACAACTAGTTCTGCTGGTGCTACAACTGTTAATGGCACGCCTGGCTGAACGGGCTCTTTTGCTGGGGATAACACTTCTACCTCAACATTTTTGTTCTCAAACAGGCTGACGTCACTCGGCTCAGACAGGGTCATTTTATTTGGAATACACACTACATCTTTTTGGTATTCCTTTGATTCTGGTATCAGCATGATATTGTGCATCTTGTCTTTATTTGTGTGGAGGGAGAACCTGGAAAGTTGATCGGACAATTTATTTTGAAATGTTGTACTCAGATTGGAAGCTTTTAAAAGCTCTGGGTTTTGTTTGGATGTGCTAGTTCTTTTTGGCTCCAACTTGGCAACAGTTTTGGGTGGCCGTTTACCACCAACCTTCTCGTGTACTCTCTTCCTGTGTTTGACAATATAATCATTCCTAATAGCACCATAGTCACAATACTCACATTGATAAGGGAATACACCTGTATGTTTCACCAAATGCCTTTGAAACTCTCCTTTTGTATATGAAATGTAGCTGCAGTGAGAACAAATGAATTTGATCTCTTCATGCTGAAGTGTGTGCTTTCTGTACTGCAGAGGGTCCTTGGTGGAAAATCGGCATTTATCACAATAGTATTTGCCTGGCTTAAAGTTCCTTACCTTAAATTTATTACCGACAGAGCTGGAGATGGCTTCAGCTGTATTTCCTACATGAGCAGCACTGCAATTATTGTTCACAAAATGAAAACGGGGAGGAGGCACACCAAGGCTACATGTGAAACAGACGTATTTGTCTTTTTGGCTTTGTCCAATACCCTTTTTTAAGTCTTGAAGAGGGACTTTGTGAACACTTTTGCATTTTATACATGTAGCAATGGTCATCATGGCAGCCTCTGTCTCTAAGCCTTGATAGAAAAGGGCTTGAGCTTCTTGTCCATCTGGTTGAGTCACTCTATTAGCATTAGGTTGCTTGAGTGACATGGTCAAGGAATTGTGTCTGTCATTCACTTGTGGAGTATATAACTGCTGTCCAATATCCTTCATCATCTTTATCTGCATTTCTAGAAAGAGTCCATTGAGATTCAGAAAGACTTCATGTGATGAAATTCTTAGGAGGCATCCTTCAACATATTTTGTGACTAGAAGAAAAGCAGCTACTCTCTGGCAGCATACTTAATTATCTTTTTTTATACACTGCCACAGCAGGTTCATGATCCCAAAATACGATTGCTTCCAATTTTCTGATATTCCAGGCAACACTAAAGGAAAAAAAAAATCATAAAGAATGATTAGTATATGAACTTAAGGTTTAGCTTACCTGCTATTAAACTTCTCTATGTTTTAATGGTCTTGGGAATTTTATGCTAAATCTCATCATGTTATCTAAGATGCATACTGATAATAACACAAAACAACAGAATTGACAAATAACAAGTCTTCAATGAAAATGTTTCCAAACTCAGGCCGCTAAACATCACCACTTTAGACCAACCATGAACACAGATATGCCAGAAGCCAAGAAGTCACAGTGATTGTTTGGAGTAGCCTTTGCTCAGTAAAACTGATTTTCCGGTGTACAGCATATGCCAGCAATTTCACAGGCATAATCAAAGATCATAGCCTTCAGTATGGATTACACCTCAACAGAAAGAAAACAAAAATCCTCATAACTGGACCAATAAGCAACATCATGACAAGTGGAGAAAATACTGAAGTTGTTAAGGATTTCATTCTACTTGGATCCATAATCAATGCCCATGGAAGCAGCAGTCAAAAAATCAAACAAGATATTGCACTGGGCAAATCTGCTGCAAAAGACCTCTTTAAAGTGCTAAAAAGCAAAGATGTCATTCTGAGGACTAAGCTGCGCCTGACCCAAATCGTGGTGTTTTCAATCACCTCGTATGCATGTGAAGGCTGGACAATGAATAAGGAAGACCAAAGAACTGATGCCTTTGAGTTGTGGTGCTGGCGAAAAATATGGAATATACCATGGACTGCCAGAAGAATGAACAAATCTATCTTGAAAGAAGTATAGCCAGAAAGCTACTTAGAAGTGAGGATGGCAAGACTTCATCTCACGTACTTTGGACATGTTATCAGATGGCACTGACCGGTTCCTAGAGAAGGACATCATGCTTGGTAAAGTAAAGGGTCAGCGTAAAAGAGGAAGACCCTCAAAAATGGACTGACATAGTGGCTGCAACCAACAGTAGGCTCAAGCATAACAACAATTGTGAGGATGGTGCAGAACTGGGCAGTGTTTTGTTCTATTGTACACAGAGTCGCTGGGAGTCAGAACCAATTTGACGGCACCTAACAACAATTTCGTATTAACCTCACTAAACCTTGTACAGGAATTATTGTCATTTCAGGCTGAGAATATGTTAGTTATCAAGTGCTAGAGCCAGGGCTTCGGCCCAGGTCTTTACATTCATTTCTACATTACAGCTTATTAACAGTTTGGACACCAACTCTCGCTTTTATACTCCATCTGCTTTCACCAGTGTTAAGAGCCAGTGATACTGGCAATGTTAAGTAGACAAGTAATCACTTATTCTTTCAACATCATACCACATATCTCTTATGTGCCAGGAACTATTCTAAGTGCTGCTGAGAAGAAGTAAACAAAAGGAAATCAATCCCTACCCTTGTGATGTGTATACTATAAAGGGGGGAAATAGGATATGCATTTATTTGCCAGAAAAGGTTAAGTTAATTGGGAAAAAAAAATAGCACAAAACAAGGCAGGGAGTGCCTGTGCGATGAGGTATAGGGTTAGGGTGTTGAGGTGAGGGTAGTTACGAAAGGCATCACAATAAGCAGACATTTGCGCAGAGATCTGAGGGCAGCCAGGGAGGGAGCAATGTGACTGTCTGGGAAAAGGGTGTTTCAAGAAGACAGAAGCAAATGTCTTGTGGGAAGTGGGCCTGGCCTATGTGGGAAACAGCAAGGAGGCCCTGAGGCGGGATGGGAACGAGAACGGGGGCAATATGGTCAGAGGGAACAGGGAGACTGGTCACAGAAGGATCTATACCACAATATGGTAAGGATGGGGCCTTTCCTCTACATGGAATGGGAAGCCAGAAGAGACATTAGAGCAGTGGCATGACAGGGCCTGACTTATATCTCAACAAGTCTCTAGCTGCTGTGAAGAGTCTGTGAGGGATACAACAGTAGCAGCAGGGGGACTGAGGTGAGAGATGTCTATGGCTTGGATCAGGTTAGCAGGTGATAAATGGTAGCTAAAGCAAGTTACTCCAATATTCACACACATTGTGTGTAAAACAGTCACTAATTTTTATATGAAAATAGTTCATTGATCTTTAAAGACACCCCCTGCCCCCCACCTCCCTCCTGCCCTCAGAATACACAGAACTAGGAGCCAAACAAAAATCATTCCAGTTTGGGATCTGCTAAAGGCCTTTTCTTTTATGACCTTAAAGAAGCCACTTAAACTTTTGGAAAGTCAACTTCTTCATCTGGCAGTCAGAATTAAGGGCACTTACTCAACCTCTCCTGCAGGACCCCTCTGTTGACTAAAATGCTAAAAGAGCATTAGAAAACACTTTTGAAATTTTAAAGTGCTTCTCTAAGTACCAAGAGGCACGGGAGGTGCTCAGTGTTTGTTCAGTGACAGGCAGCAATAGGAGGGAGAATAGCAGCTTCATTCTGGCACACTAACAGGCCAAGCGCCACACAACACCAGACTGAAAGACCCAAGCTGGGAGCAGAACCATCACTTGTAAGGATCAGGAGAAACATCTGTTGCATATTCAGATCTAGCTCGACATAAAATCTTCCCTTAATAAAGCAGCTCTGGGGAGCACCGTAAGAAACGCACTGTATCTGACGATAGGCTTTAGTATTTCTTATTTTGGCTCGATTGCCTTTTCCTGTTTTACATTTGTAAAATACAGTTACCTCCTTTCAAAAGCAACTTCCAGCATGCAGCCAAGCCCTGATAACATCGTGGGGCTCAACCGGACTTGCTCTATCATATAAACGTGCCCCCAGGAAGACGTTTGTGGGGCTGTGAGGTGTGTATATCCCCTCAATGTGCAAATGCCTACCTATGCAAGGCGACTGTGGTTTTGGATAGGGCACAGGCAGGATGCCTCCAAATGAGAAACAGATAAGGAGGGCAAAGACAAAGAATTTCCTTTTCCACCGCACTCCTGGTATTTAAGAGAGGTGGAACTTTCAGAGGAGTGGATGGAAGAAGTCACTTCATTTTCCAGATTTGTAAATTGGTTTTAGTGAAGGGAGGAAGAAGGGACACCCAGGAAAACGTCTGCTGCTAATCAAGTCACCCAACTTCATCAGCTTGCTCTCTATAAACTGAGGGGCTGGACTGGGTGATTTCTAAGTCCAGTCTGACATTGCTGATCCTTGAAATCAGACTTTTACTGTTTAAGTGTATGAACACTACTGTCACGAGCACGCTCATGTCAGCATATGTAGGCTGCCAGCTGCTAAAACGGGAGAAGCCACAGCTGTAACCAGAGCCCAAGAAACACACAGGCCCAAAGAATGCAGAGGCCGAAAAGGGGAGATTAAGGGCATCTGGTCCACTGATTCTCAAATCCAGAGGAGACTCAGAACGACTCCTCCAATAAACATTCCTGGGCCTCATCCCCAAGCTAGTGAGTGAATCGAAGTCTTGGGGAGAATGGGTGGGGGTGGGGGGGGTGATGACATCTGTGGTTTGGTTTGTAAAGCACTGCAGGTAATTCTGATGAAAGCCAGTATTACAAATCACTAGTTAAAGCTCCCAGTGGCATTTAAGACCTTAAAACAGCTTCATCTATGGGTCATGCAGTAAGTGCTCTAATACTGCCACAAACAGAAAATGCCTTCCTTTTAGGTAGCTACTTTTATTTCCACATAGTTGTCACTGTAAAGGATTTACCCTTAAATGAAACCAGCCTCCTTGTAACTTACTTTCTTCTATCCTAGCTTTGCAATAAAAAAACAAGAAACAAACAAAAGCTTAATCCCTCTTGATCAACCAGTTATTAATCTGCACATCTCTTCTCTCATCCAGCCCTCAGTTCTTTTCAAAATTCTGTTCAAAAGCTTTGCATGAGGATTACACCAATTGGTATGCACACCTCTGCTCATCTTCCAGCTTTACAATCCTACTAACTGGAAGAATTGGCGCCTTTGAATTGTGGTGTTCGCGAAGAATATTGAATATATCACGGACTGCCAAAAGAATAAATAAATCTGTTTTGGAAAAAGTACAGCCTAAATGCTCCTTAGAAGCAAGGATGGCAAGATTATGTCTCACATACTTTGGACATGTTATCAGGAGGTATCAGTCCCTGGAGAAGGACATCATGCAAAAAAGAGGAAGAACCTCAGTGAGATAGATGATTGACACAGTGGCTGCAAAAATGGGCTCAAGCGTAAAACTACGATTATGAGGATGGCCCAGCACCAGGCAGTGTTTCTTTCTGTTGTACAAAGGGTCGCTATGAGTTGGAACCGACTTAATGGCACCTAACAACAACAACAAACTGGAAGGAAGGAAGGAAGGGAGGGAAAATCAACTAATCAGGTTACTACTTGCCTGACACAACTTGCTTACCAAATGCTTCAACATAACACCTTATACATTAATCCTAAGAAATTCTCTGTGAAGAGATTCTTCTATTTTAAGAATCACCCAAACTGGGATTCCATTCGTACATTTTCCAGCACCTTTCCCAGCCTCTTCAACAATCACAGAGGGCTGTACTGCCAGTTTCTTTCCAAGTCCTTTTAAAACTTGGAGGGTGTCATTCTTTCTAAACTGAAGACTTGGAATCTAGGGTGGACTGGACTATAAGACCATGTATTCCAGTTTGGAAAGGCAGAGTTTACACTGGCAACAAGAAGTGGAGAGCAAGCATTCTGAACGAAACTAGTTCACGCGGAGTACAGACTCTGCCTGGAGATGCCTCCACAAAACTGTCCCAGCAGTTATTTTGAATTAAGATTCCACAGGGGCAAGTGCCAGTATGAAGCATAAGCTGTGATTAGCAAATATAGTTAAATGCAGAAGGCAGGGTATTTGGGCCATGAGCTTCTAAACCATTCTCAAAATAATGCAATGTTATTACATTGGCACTTATCTCAGTCCAGGTGAAAAAGATGGCAGGCTTCTTCAGAATAAGCAGAGTTCTCTTTGGCCTTTGCAACTTGTGTGGCTAGTCATGAGGGAAGAATATGTCAGCTGTAACACTCAAGACAGAGGTAAACGGAGGCGGTAGTACAGAAGAACTAAGATGGATGGGTATGATGTTGATATTTACACGTGGACACTCCAAAGCTGCAGCAGGCACATTGAAGTAATGGGCTCCCAAGCTCCTCTTCCTTCCACATACCACTTCTTCCATCTGGTTCATATCCAGGTACAACCACCTGTGGAGGTGGGTCCTCTTGACTAGTTACTGCCCAATGGGCCAATGATCCGGGATTATATGAGATACTGTAGATAAAGGGCCGTGCATGGGCCTGATGCTAAGCAGAAACTCAGTAAGTCACTATTAACATCCAGATCAGTGCTCACCTGTCTTCCAAACTCACAAAGCCTCGCTTTCAGACCTCTGCACTTGACTTCTTAGGACTAGAAAAGTACATTCTTTCTTCCCGGTAACTTAGAGGGGCTCTCAAAACACACAGAAAATTTTTAGTATTATTAACTTTTTGGCACAATAAGGCGTTCATATGTATTAAGATGCCTGTTTTCCAAAAATTACTCAGCAGCATTCAATGAGTTTTTTTAAAGTAGAATTATCTACAGCATCAGCTGAAGATGGCCTGCCATGCACCAAGACAAGAGCACAGTGTACTACCAATGCACTTCCTTTGAACGAGTCTTTTGTCTTTTCCCAGGAAAGGGCCTAAATGCAATCTCTGCTGGTGGGTTTTTCTTTTTGACTTTCACCTTACCTGCCTTGATTTCTTGGACTTACTATGTGGGCATATGTGAAAAAACAAACAATTTTTTTTGGGGGGGGAGCAGTTCAGTGAGGGCTATCCAAAACATGAAAGACTATACTGTTTGACATCTAAATACTGGAATCTAACAATGTTCAACAGAATTAGAAGAGAACTAAGCATCAAAATGGTATTTGAAACTACAGGTTCTGGAATCAGGTAATAGCTTGAAATCCCAGTGTGGTCATCTTCCAGGTGTGTGATGTGGGCAGACTGCTGAACCTGTGTCTGATTCCTCACCTGTGACACAGAGACAGTGACAGAACAGCACCAACCTCACAGGGTTGTCACGAGGATTCAATGTGATAATGTCAGTAGATTTCATTTAGGTAAGTCACTGACACATCATAAGCATGAAACACGTTAAAAATTAATACTATCTACCATGTTGTTTATGAAGAAAGCAGAAAAGAAGAAATGTCAGTCACTTAAAAAGTCAGAGGGGTTAAAATACAGGCTTCTTAGCTGCCAGGTAACTAACTGCTCTTTCTAGAACATACACTGAATCTCACTTTGTAATCTTAATTATATTTGCTTGGTTATACAGCCTGAAAGACAATACTTACCAACTTAAACCTTGGGGGCAAAACCACTCACCTAGCCTTAGTGACAAAATGGCTAAGAGCCTCTTACAATCACCAAGGAAAAGATATCCTAACTAAAAAAGTACTCCCTACAGTTTAGGTTTATATATAAACTAGTTACTGGACTACATTTTTCTTATCCATTTCCCTCCAAGCCCAACAGAACTGTGAAGTGCGCTTCTAGCCAACGAATGTGTTTCCATGCTAGCTGTTAATGCGAAAAGTAAGAGAAATGGCTGGCCAACGATGTCGTGGATCATCACATATTCTTGGTTCTGAGAGATGCCAGCAAACACAGTATTTGGTGCCAACTGCATTCTTTCTGGATGGAGAAGTTTCAGAAGTTCTTTCCAGCAGTTCTGACACAGAAGTCTTCCTTTCATTTTGGCTTCTAGAACATTCACCGCTGGGGCAGGGATGTAGCTGCTGTAGCCATGAAGAGCAAAGCAAACGGAGTAGGAACGGAGTTCAATTCCTGATCCTGTGCCCCTTATTTGCTGGGTCCTTAGGCAAGTGATTTTTCTACATTCAGTGACAGGCCAGGAAACAGGCTTTAGTATCATCAAACTTAAAGGGATTTAGAAGCAAATGTATAATGTATGCAAGCATTCAGCCCAGTGGCACAGGCAGGTACTCAAAAAATACACCTATGTTCCTTTTGTCTATTTAGCCATAGCAAAGGCTTATCTAACATTCCCCAATAACTAAAATTTTCCAAACAATTCTACCCCAAGTGCCCTGTAGCATGTAGACAATACTTGGGGGAAAAATCTGACATTAGACATGTAAGTGGCTAATATATCCCCAGCTGGAGGGTACTCAGGAAGAAACTGCGGTCTCAGCAAGAGCTATCTCCTAGACTATTACAGTGAGTCAGAACTGAACTGAATTGGTAAAGAGATCTAAAGAAGGAATAAGATCAATTAAGCATTATTTCCTTTTTGCCAAACTGCCATGCACTTAGAAATGACTTAACTGCAAGTAGAGTGCCATCTGGATAACAACGTGGCAATGACAAACGCTTCCAAATGCTTTGGGATCCCAAATTTTCTTCAGAAACCAGGTACATTGCTTCAGCACAGAATGGGGTGAGGAGGCTACAGCACAGCCCTGGTTCTGATTTCTTTGCTTTACATGTGAAAGCAGCGCAAAGTAAGAGAGCAGAGAAATGACTTTAGGATATCAAGAACAAGGTTCAAGACCTAGGTCTTGGGCTTACTAGCTGTGTATTACAGGTTACTTAACTAGTGTCTGAGTTTTCTCACTTGTAAAAACCAAAGCCAAAATCAAACCCATTGCCGTCGAGTCTATTCCAACCCATAACGACCCTACAGGACAGAGCAGAACTGCCCCCACAGGGTTTCCAAGGCTGTAATCTTTATGGAAGCAGACTGCCACATCTTTCTCCCACAGAGCTGACTGGTAGGTTCAAACCACCGACCTTTCTTAACCACAGCGTTAACTGCTTACCCACCGAGCTGCCAGGGCTCCTTCACTTCTAAAAGGAGGATAATGATGTTGAATTTGCATGGCTGATTGGAGAATACCTATCTGCTTGGCAAACTGTAGCTGTTTTGTCAAGAAATAAATCAACGTACTTTGTAAGACCCCTTCAAATGTAGATTTCAGTAATGTCCAGAGAAACAGAAACTGATAGCTTAACAAATACCCCTGATTAATGGTGGTGGTGCAGTGGTTAAAAACTCAGCTGCAAACCAAACCAAAAGGTCAGCAGTTCGAATGCACCAGCCTCTCCCTGGAAACCCTATGGGGCAGCTCTACTGTACCCTAAAAGGTCACTATGAGTCAGAATCGACTCGACAGCAGCGGGTTTGGTTTTTTAAGGCAAAATGACTTCATTAGTGGTCAGAGGCAAGAATGGTCTGCACCCGACACCCCCCACCCCACAAAGCAGTTCTTTGGGGATCAACTTGACACTGCTGAGCACATCAATTGAGTCTAGACTAGAAAATGAAGTCATTGTACAGAGTTATTTTTAAAAAAGCTTTCAAAGGAACAAACTTGCAGTTCTGTTTGTGTGTGTGTGTGGGGGGGGGATGTCAAGGAGCAAATGTGCTCCTATCAGCATTAACAAAAACATTCAAGGTAAAAACAAGGCTAATATTTCAAGTGGCATTGCAAAGTTCTGTTATTCAACATATCAAGAGATTTTAGCTCTAAAGGTGCTAAAATGAAGGCCATGTGTATTGTTGTCTCCCCTATTTTCTTGCTTTAAGGGTAAACCACGATTTTGCAGGACAAATGGATTTAGAATTTAGTAAAAGTATATCAAACCTAGAAGAAACGTCTCCCAGTGGTTCTCAATGATGGCTGCATGAGGGTGACCGACTGGTCCCAATTCACCCAGGAAGTTCCCAGTTTTAAAATTAAAAGTTGAGGGGAAGCTGGGATGGTTGGTCACCATATCGTACACCGGAATTACCTGGGGAGCTTAAAATAATGAGGCTGGGCCCCATCACTAGAGATGGGGGGAGGGTGCAGCTTGGGCACCAGGAGGTTTAGAAGCTTCCCTGGTGATTCTAATGTGCAGCTAAGGTTGAGAATCACCTGACACTACAGGTACAGGGACAAGCACACAGAAATGGCCAAAATACTACCAATCCTTTATACACTAACCTACCCGAGGGTGCATGAGCTGGGACAAAGACCCTACCTTGGGATCGCCATGGGATGATTAAGACTCTAAGTCTCACCTCTGCCTAGTCATGTGACCTTGCAGACATCACTGAAGCTCTCTGTAAAGTGGGCAAGGCCAGTACCTACCTCGTCCATTACTGGAAACATCAATGCTGCTGGCACAGTGCCTGGCACAGAGTGAGTCCATGATCATGCTGTCACTCGCTGCTGTCTTTAAGGAGTGTAATGGGGGAAGGTGAGATGTCTATGGGTGGTTCAGTAAAGTGGTCAATGCCACATCAGAGATGTGATCAGGGAGCTCTGTTTCAGTGCCTGGCAGCTTTTGTCAACTGGAGCACCTTGGCCTGACTCAAGTGGAAGGGGTCCCTGCAGGAGCAGGTTCATACAGTACCTCCAGATTCCTCAAAGCCAGCTTTGAATTATCTGCTTCTTCCTCAGCCAAACCCTTTAACTCCTCTCAAGATACCAGGTCTGGAGAAACTGCATAGCTTTTGTAAGATCACAGTTGGTGAAGGGTGGCATCTGGTGTCTAATCTAAATCCTGTTTCCTGCTACCCTGACCCGGGTTTCCTAAAAATTACAGTTCAAACATGTACATTTAAATAGATTATGTGTGAAAGTAGTTTGCAAATTATTATCATTTTTGGGGGTGGGGGGCAGGTGGTATCCCTTAATTTACTACTATTAAGTACCTCCTGAGTCCTCATAGTAAACCCGTAAAAGACATGCCACTGAAGCCTTGCTCTTCCACATTCTCACTCCTTCCCTTGCCCGATCTTTCAAGAGTGGAGCAGGGGCGAGCTTGGAACAAGGAGATGGGAGGCTTCGAACTGAAAAGTCAGGATCTGCTGCCACTTCAGCCCGGTCCTCACTTCCTGCCTGGAGCTGGCGAGCTGCGGATGTGATTTAAATGGATGGCAAGTCCCACAGGCTCTTCCAGGCCTGTCTTCTCAGGCACCAAGTCCCATCTGGTCTCATAGCCTCTGGCCCTGGCGTAGCCGTCTATGCTCAGCACCCTGGGTGGCAGCAAGGCACTGCACAAGAGCCCTGCAACAGAAGCCTGACGCTGGGATTTAAGTCAGGGCCCTGCAGCCCTGGTTTCTTCTATAAAGGGGAATGTGCCCCAGCAGTGCTCTCAAGCAGGGGTGGGTGGCAAAACCACTTAGAGAGCTTCAAAAAAAAAAAAGGATTCCCGGGACACATGTGACCTAATGACTCAGGATGCCATTTTCCTGGGGTGAAGCTCAGCATGTGATTTAAAATTCCTCCCAGGTGGTTCTGATGTCCCCTCCCTCCACTCATGATGAGAATGTCTGCAGTGGACAGTGTCTGGTCACTTTCAACCCAAAGATGGAGCCTGGAAACTGCAGTTGGCTGAGTCTGCGTATGTGAACAAAGAAAAACGCAGTACAGGGACAGTTCGAGAACAATCAGGACTGGGAAATATCCCATGATAGTTAACAGCACAAGGCCTGGCCACAGAAAGCCCTCAATACGTAATGAGTGAATGACTGAAAAAAATGGCAGCCTTCATAAGCGACAATTATAAAAATGTCCTTCTTTGTTCTTCTTCTTGCACGAAAACTAGCCCAGAACCCCTTACTTCAAGGCAAACAGAATCGAAGAGAGAGAGAGGTGATTTTTTTTTTCATTGCCATTACTGGAGTTTTAAAATCCACATTAGTTTTGCATAACACATTAGGGAGGAGCCCCAATGAATAACACAATGCTCTCCTTTGTCTGCTTTTTTTCAAACTGCACTTGAATGAATGCTATCAGGATAACAAAGCTGAATACATACAAAAATGTTATTTTTAAATTACATCCAAGATAAGTGTTTTCTAAAGAGAACATTCTACATGTAGTCTACTTAAAAAGACTCCACAATGTCGATTTCTAAACATTTTCTGGCCTTCCAGAACCGTTGGCCTGTAACTCCTTATACACACATCACAGGCTGGGTTGAACTTTGCATTTATGACTCAGAGAGATAAAGAGATATCTTCCTATTCTTTCTCTCTGCTCTTCTACATGAAAGAAGTACAAGCTTCTGGAGACCAGGGCTTGTCTTAACTCTTGTTGGTGGTTCAATCGTAAAACGTAAGGGATACTGCTTAAGGATTCTAACATAATGTTACAGTTTGGCTGTACAGACTTCATTTTTAAACAGAACCAAGTGCTCCGTGTTTTGCTTTTTATTTTTTAATGTCAGGTTGGTAAATGGTTCGTTTTCCCAGTTGTTAAAATCAGAAGGTATTTTAACTAGATGCATTAAATCCACAAGGTACCTAGAGGGACTCAGATTGTTTTTCCCATTCTCCTCTTTGGGTTTCCCTTTCCCACTAAGAATCGTCATTTCTTTTGAACCTAGCATTGTTTCCCCTGCCTTAAACAGTCCACCCACCCCAAAAGCAACAAGATTAAAAGGGCAGGCTTGGGTGGGGGAGTTCCCACAAAGAGTGACATCGGCATTTGGAACAATTCAAACCTTCGCCATACGTATCCATTCTCTCTCCCTCTCACACACACACGCACACGAACACACACAAGGATGCTCGGGCACTCAATGGGCCAAGCCCATTCCTGGACACATTCTCGAAAACTCCCAAGGAAAGACGATGCCAGTCTGGTTTTCAAGTTTATTGTCGGCACAATCACACCGATGGTACACAATATCCAAACGTGGGCCAGTCGAGGCGACTCCACCTCTAACAACGTGGTGGTACTTAGGTAAGGAGGCGGGGGTACAATAAGACTACGTCGTTGTCTCCCGGGGGACGCCCGGGCCCACCGTGGGGTCGCCTGGGGTGTCTTCTAACGACTGAAAATCAAAAACGTCAACACTTACCTCCGAGGCCCGCAGGAGGCTTTAAAAATGGCCTTCTGACGCCACTTCCTGCTCCGCCGACCGGTAGGCGATCTCGGAGAGGCATCATTTAAAGCTGGGGGCGGGGAGGGCGCGGGCAGGGGCGCTCCGAGGGGTCGCGGCGGCACAAAGGCGGCCGGGGGCGCGGCCCG